CAACATACTGGAGCGATATGGCAAGAAATGTCGAATAGAACCAGTGAAGAGCAGAGGTGCCATAGGCACAGATAGAGAACATTATAAACATTAGATGTCCACAACTGTTCAATATCCTATCAACAATCATAATAAATATTGCCGGAACAAACGTGGACTTCTCCAAGGAAAAAATAGAAACGTTCCGGCAAGAAGTGCCGGGCCAATATGGTTCAAGTGGACATGTGAGGCTGCGGGCTACTCCAAGCAACAGTTTGTTGGACGAATTTATCATAAGTGGGCTTGACTTTAGGCTACTGTAATTGGAGTAGAAGAATTCCTAAAACCCATTCCAGGTACGATTATAGTCATTATTACCAGCATTACCTCTCGGTGATGATTGGAAGAGCTTAGGTTTTACCTATGTACTCTCTCCTCCTCCCTGCCACCGTGCTCCGTCCTCCCAGCCACCCTGGAGTGTGAGGGAGAGCAGCGGCCGCAGTGTTGCGTCAGCCGGTTGGGGAGGAGGGTGTGCGGCTTGGCTCTCTCCCTCCCTCATTCTGCTCCCGTCGTGAGTGATTCCACTCGTGCTTCAGCTTCACCCTCGTACCAAGTGCTTCACTCATTTGCTGCTTTTGTCTATTCTGGAGTGAAATTTCCACCGCTACACTGTCCTTAGTGTTACCATTGGAATTGTGACACACATGGTAGGAATGGTCTGGTTCCCAGATGGTGTAGAACTCTTTCTCTGACACATTGACATACCTTGCAGTGTACCATCCTGCTATATTATCCAGATGGTTTATACATCCTGGTGTATTGGCCTAGAGGTTTAAACTTCCCTGGTGTATTGACCTAGAGGTTTAAACTTCCCTGGTGTATTGACCAAGATGTTTATACATCCTGGTGTATTGGCCTAAAGGTTTAAACACCCTGGTGTATTGATCTAAAGGTTTAAACACCCTGGTGTATTGGCCTAAAGGTTTAAACACCCTGGTGTATTGGCTTAAAGGTTAAACACCCTGGTGTATTGGCCTAAAGGTTTAAACACCCTGGTGTATTGGCCTAAAGGTTTAAACACCCTGGTGTATTGATCTAAAGGTTTAAACACCCTGGTGTATTGATCTAAAGGTTTAAACACCCTGGTGTATTGATCTAAAGGTTTAAACACCCTGGTGTATTGATCTAAAGGTTTAAACACCCTGGTGTATTGATCTAAAGGTTTAAACACCCTGGTGTATTGATCTAAAGGTTTAAACACCCTGGTGTATTGACCTAAAGGTTTAAACACCCTGGTGTATTGACCTAAAGGTTTAAACACCCTGGTGTATTGACCTAAAGGTTTAAACACCCTGGTGTATTGACCTAAAGGTTTAAACACCCTGGTGTATTGACCTAAAGGTTTAAACATCCTGGTATATTGTTCTGGTGGTTTAAGCACTGGCATATTGCCTAGATGGTTTAAACATCGTAATATAAAATATTAGCTACCTTACTCAAGTATTTTGAAATCAAAATATTATTTGAAATTATGCGTAAAGAAGATTTTGTTTGCAAGACTTTTGTTTGCCTTAACAAACTAACCAAGAGAGGGGGGGTGGGGGGGGGCTGATCCGGTCGTAGCTGGGAAACAGTGAACTGCTCTAATTGGACAGGAATTACAAGCGATGGAGCTGCAATATTGCACAAGGAAATAGTAAGAATTGTGACAAAAGCATTACACGGAGCAGGTAATGCTATTACTGGGAATCGCTTGACTTATGTTCCCTGAAGATTGGCCTCCAAAGTGTTCATGGTAGTTTAGTACGGCGCTGAAGGAGGCATGAAAGTGGTTAATAGCATTACAGGAAGCTCTTTGTTCACTTCATTGTTTGAGAGTGTTGATTACAAATGTGGGGTTCATTCCCTGTGCTTGTATTGCACAAGGGCTCGGTGTCTCATGGACCAGCCCGTCCTCCAAACAAAGATCCAAAAGTGATTTCATCCACCCGCCAAACCCCCTGTTTATGAATGAAAAACGGTTTACACACGACTCACAACTGCTGACGTTCGAACATATCCGGAACAAGTGCTTCACTGACGAATTTTGTTCGAATCATAACGCTGTAAATGCTTCACCCACGTGCTACAAATACAAATAATCGCCAACAGAACCTAAACACCAAACCTAACCTATCCTATGCATATATATACACAATATGCTAATATGTTATAATATTAATTTATACTTGAGAAAATTCCCGTTTTGAATGAACAGCATATGTTAAAATTTATGAATGCGTCTGTGGGGTTGACCGCTGGATGTAATGGACTTGAGTCGAGGACGGGTTGTGTATTGACAAATTGAAAATGAATCCATCATATATTTTCATGTTCAAATGAACCTTATATACATCTACAAGGAGCAAGGGTCCCAGTGAGGCAGGTTGCACGAAAGGACACAAGCTCTGCAGTTGCATCATTCCACTTTTTCTCTCCAAGTTTTGATTACTATTTCCCTGAAGAAAAGTTTGAAGTTTGAATGGGACCCCCGGCGTGAAACTGGCAACCCGTCGTCGTCTCATGGCCATTCCATCCAGCGGTCGACCCCACAGACGCATTCATAACTTTTTACATGCTGTTCATTCAAAACGGGAATGTTCTCAAATATAAATTAATATTATAATATATTAGCATATTGTGCATATATAGGCATAGGTTAGGTTAGGTGTTTAGGTTCTGTTGGCGATTATTTGTATTTGTAATACGTGGGTGAAGCATTTACAGCGTTGTGATTCGAACAAACTTCGTCAGTGAAGCACTTGTTTCGGATATGTTCGAACGTCAGCAGTTGTGAGTCGTGTGTAAACCGTTTTTCATTCATAAACAGCTGGGGTTTGGCGGGTGGATGGAATTACTTTTGGGTCTTTGTTGGGAGGACGGGCTGGTAACTGGACGTGTCTGGGGCCCGGAGTCCACCGCCCGACCCAAACAAATAACTTGAACAAAACAATCAACCATTAAACTTCCAAACTTGCATGTTTAAAAGTCCCCAACTGCCGCCTCACCATTCATTATACACTAGTCACAATCTCTTTCTTCTTGTGGTTTTTTACATATATTTCCTTTCTCTTACACTCAGAATGTGTACTTCTCACACTACATCACCCTGGCAGCCTCCTCCCGTCACCCTGGCAGCCTCCTCCCGTCACCCTGGCAGCCTCCACCCATCACCAGCTGTCATACACACTACCATCACCCTGGTGGCCTCCACCCGTCACCAGCTGTCTACTTTATATGCAAATTAAAATCATAATTTCATAGAGACTCTTCACGATAATCACTGAGAACGGAGCAGTTTAAACTTATCTTGTTTGACTCAGTTTGGAAGTTTGGCGGAGGTGAGATGCTATCTTGCCAGCCAGGCAGGATAACAGGCTGGCGGGATGGTGTAGGGCAGCCAGCCTCTACTGAGGAGCCGTGACTTCTTCACCATTCCTTGTGAGGGGAGGAAGAGAGAGAGAGACAGAGAGAGAGAGACAGAGAGAGAGAGAGAGAGAGAGAGAGAGAGAGAGAGAGAGACAGAGAGAGACAGAGAGAGAGAGAGACAGAGAGAGAGAGAGAGAGAGAGAGACAGAGAGAGAGAGAGACAGAGAGAGAGAGAGAGAGAGAGAGAGAGAGAGACAGAGAGAGAGAGAGAGAGAGAGAGAGAGAGAGAGAGAGAGAGAGAGAGAGAGAGAGACAGAGAGAGACAGAGAGAGAGGGTGACAGAGAGAGAGAGAGACAGAGAGAGAGAGAGAGACAGAGACAGACAGAGAGAGAGACAGAGACAGACAGAGAGAGAGACAGAGAGAGACAGAGAGAGAGAGAACTGTTGTTTACCCAGCAGAGAACGGGCACCTGGCTGAGAGATGTCCTACTTTTCTCAATCACTTGAGAGAAGTGATTTTCTTAAAAGATTTTGCGGGTCGTATTCCGTGGAAAATTAAGAATAAACAATTGCCGGAAATGCCATTGCGTGCTTGTGGCTGTACAAGAATGTAAGAATTCTTGTATATATATAAATACACGAGACAGAGAGAGAGAGAGAGAGAGAGAGAGAGAGGGGAGGGGGAGGGGGGGGGGAGAGGTCAATCGTTAACTTTAAGCACCCAGCTAGGTCGTCATGTGATGGGCCGGGGTTGGCCTCAGCCCACACATCTCTCCCTCCCTCCTTCCTACCTTTAACTTTTATTGACTTACTCCTCTCCTCTGCCCTTTCTTTATCCTAACTTTCTCCACCTCCTCTTTCCTTGCTCTCTTCTACTTCTTTCATCGCATCGTTTTCTTCCGCCTCTCCTCCCTATCCTTCACTTGATATGTTGACCAACATACTATTTATTTATTTATTTATTTATTTATATACAAGAAGGTACATTGGGTTTGTGAGAATACATAGCATAGTATTTACAATCTTGTAAAGCCACTAGTACGCGCAGCGTTTCGCGCAGGTCCTTAATCTAACAGATAATTTTAAGTAGGTAAATTCTAGCAGAATTAATAAAATGATAACAGATACATTGCAAGAAAAAAATGAGATGAGAGAGATTAGTAAGTATATTAAAGCACATTGGTATATTAAAGCTCTGATTGATTACATTGACAGCTTGATTGGTAATTTAAACAAGATTAATAGACACCATACAGCAGATTAATAGCATATATAAGAAGACAGCAATGATCACAATGGTAAAGATGTTCAGATTGGGTACATAAAGATTGGGAGATTGGGTAGCACTAGATACAGTGCAATTTTAAAGCAACAAGGTAAAAAACTATGAAGATGAAATTAGATACTTTTTAGTTTTGTTTTTGAATGATGCAAAAGTTGGACAGCTTTTCAATTCAATAAGGAGTGAGTTCCATAGACTAGGTCCCTTTATTTGCATAGAGTGTTTACACAGATTAAGTTTGACCCTGGGGATATCAAAGAGATATTTATTTCTGGTGTAGTGATAATGGGTCCTATTACATCTGTCCAGGGAGAGTTTCAGAGCATGGTTTGCATTTAAAAATAGGGTTTTGTAAATGTAGTTGACACGAGAGAATGTGTGGAGGGAGTTAATATTTAGCAAGTTAATGGATTTAAACAATGGAGCTGAGTGTTGTCTGAAAGAAGAATTTGTTATTATTCTGATAGCAGATTTTTGCACCTGCGAAAGCAAAAGCACATATTTTGCACCCGCAAGATAACGTAAACTTTTAAGGGTTGATAAATGTTAATCTTCTTGTTTGAGGAGCTGTTCACTTGAGACAGTTAAGCAAGTCCCAGCTGTGTCTGGGTACAAGTGACAGGATGAACAACCCAGCGGGTTTTCTTCCTATTGGGGAGTGTTGTACATTCTGCTATGGCGGTATATTCACTCACAAGATGAGTGGCGCTGCCCAATAAACTCGCCCCTCGGGGCAAATCAAATCAATCACAGCTCTCACAACACCACTCTCTGAGGCTCTTGTTGCGGTACGTGGCCACACAGCTCTCACAACACCACTCACGGAGGCTCTTGACGCGGTACGTGGCCACACAGCTCTCATAACACCACTCACGGAGGCTCTTGACGCGGTACGTGGCCACACAGCTCTCATAACACCACTCACGGAGGCTCTTGACGCGGTACGTGGCCACACAGCTCTCATAACACCACTCACGGAGGCTCTTGACGCGGTTCGTGGCCACACAGCTCTCATAACACCACTCACGGAGGCTCTTGACGCGGTACGTGGCCACACAGCTCTCATAACACCACTCACGGAGGCTTTTGACGCGGTACGTGGCCACACAGCTCTCATAACACCACTCACGGAGGCTTTTGGCGCGGTACGTGGCCACACAGCTCTCATAACACCACTCACGGAGGCTCTTGACGCGGTACGTGGCCACACAGCTCTCATAACACCACTCACGGAGGCTCTTGTCGCGGTACGTGGCCACACAGCTCTCATAACACCACTCACGGAGGCTCTTGACGCGGTACGTGGCCACACAGCTCTCATAACACCACTCACGGAGGCTCTTGTCGCGGTACGTGGCCACACAGCTCTCATAACACCACTCACGGAGGCTCTTGGCAATTTCCGTTATTCGTCATTATAACTAACAGTGGGATTGTCCATATCCCAGGTCAGTGTTTGTAGAATAATAACTTAGAGTGTCACTTGATAATTAGTGCTTCAGTTGAGTATGGCCGAGATTGGCCTCCCAAGTGGAGCTTAATTTCTGGGCTAGGCTTCGGCGCCTCATGTTCCTAAGGGAAAATATCATTTAAGTTCACAGGGACATGCGAATCCCTCGTTAATTAGACGACTAAGATCTACAAATGTTCATTAATTATCATTTGTCATACATTTGTCCCCAGCTGTTCCGGTTCGTTACTAATTAATTGCATTCACTGAGGCAGGGAACACAAATTATGGGTAGGAAGTCTGGCAATTCATTAGTGTGGTTTTTACATGTTTTTATCGGCTTTTAAATTATATCACTAATGCCTCATTTATATCTTGCTGATTGTATTAATTAATACTTCCCTCTTGATTTAAAATACCTTTTGTACAATATACTGAGACACACTGAGATTAGTACACTGTGGCGGACCTTCAGTGTACTCTGGTACTGTAGTACACTGTGGCAGACCTTCAGTGTACTCTGGTACTGTAGTACACTGTGGCAGACCTTCAGTGTACTCTAGTACTGTAGTACACTGTGGCAGACCTTCAGTGTACTCTGGTACTGTAGTACACTGTGGCAGACCTTCAGTGTACTCTGGTACTGTAGTACACTGTGGCAGACCTTCAGTGTACTCTGGTACTGTAGTACACTGTGGCAGACCTTCAGTGTACTCTAGTACTCCTTCAGTGTACTCTAGTACTGTAGTACACTGAGACTGACGTTCACAGCTTCCTCAAAATAACAATTATTTGCGGCTCGACCAATAATATGTTAAGTTATGCCAGGAAGGTCCACATGTGCTGTTATACCGTGATATGTGTACTGAAACATGTTGAATTTAAACAATATTAACAATTAAAAGACTTTACAGAATGTTAATAATTTAAACAATCTGGAAAATGATTGGTTTATATCTCGTGAATTACCACGTTTAAGACGAGGAGAAACAGTGAGTGACCTCGTGTGACCTCCAGCTCTTATCATGACCCAGCAGACTGGTTGACCCTGAGTGACGTCTCCCCTGATGGCGGCCACCGACACCCTCAACCTGACCCCCACCGTGACCTTGGAGGACGTGGGGGAGGACCTGGCCAATCAGAGCACGTTGACGGCGTGGTCGCAGCAGACGGTGGAGGCCGGGGTGGCGGCGGAGGTGACGGCGGTGGTGGTGCTGGTGGTGGGGGTGGTGGGGAACGTGGTGGTGATGGGGGTGTTCCTGGGGCGGCCATGTGGGCGCACCCCCATGCAGGTTGACCGTGTCGTGGGGCTCCTGGCACTGATGGGACTGCTCACCACCCTCGCCTCCGTCCCCTTCCACATCGCATCCTTCCTCACAGGTCAGTCATCTATTGGTATTTAGGCCTCAGGTTAGGTTGCCCAACACCTTGTCTTCCCTAGAATATGATCTGCCAGTCGTTTTACACCCAGGTTCCCACCTCCTGCTTGGCACTGACGGGAGAAGGGAGGAACAGTCCCCACTCATGTAGCCCGGTCTCTTCAACAAATGCCAAGTAATTAATTATAAACTCTAAGTCAGTTTAAAATTTATCTGGATTTGAGCCGCTGTTACCGCGAGAGTAACTGAGTGAGCACTTACATTTAATTCCTTCTCCGGATCCCTTCGGCGGGAGGGACAGACTGTTTAGTCCAACCCGTCCTCAGACCTATCAGCCCGCCTTCATAAGTAAAGGTCAAAGTCCATTCCATGCACCCGCCAAACCCCCGTATTTATAGAACCCATCCTCAGACCAAGTCCATTCTATCCAGCGGTCGACCCCAAAAACGCATTCAGCAATTTTAACATTCTGGTAATTCAAAACAGAACTTTTCTAAAATATAAATTAATATTATTATATATTAGCATAATGTGCGTATTTAGGCATTGGTTAGGTTAGGTGTTTAGGTTCTGTTGGCGATTATTTCAACCCGTCCTCGACTCAAGTCCATTCCATCCAGCGGTCGACCCCACAGACGCATTCATAAATTTTAACATGCTGTTCATTCAAAACGGGAATTTGCTCAAGTATAAATTAATATTATAATATATTAGCATATTGTGCATATATAGGCATAGGATAGATTAGGTGTTTAGGTTCTGTTGGCGATTATTTGTATTTGTAGTACGTGGGTGAAGCATTTACAGCGTTGTGATTCGAACACTATTCGTCAGTGAAGCACTTGTTCCGGAAGTGTTTGAACGAAATCAGTTGTGAGTCGTGTGTAAACCGTTTTTCATTCATAAACCAGCCCGTCCTCCAAACAAAGATCCAAAAGTGATTCCATGCACCCGTCAAACCCCCTGTTTATGAATGAAAAACGGTTTACACACGACTCACAACTACTGACGTTCGAACACATCCGGAACAAGTGCTTCACTGACGAATTTTGTTCGAATCACAACGATATAAATGCTTCACCCACGTACTACAAATACAAATAATCGCCAACAGAACCTAAACACCTGACCTAACCTAACCTATGCCTATATATACACAATATGCCAATATATTATAATATTAATTTATACTTGCGAAAATTCCCGTTTTGAATGAACAGCATGTTAAAATTTATGAATGCGTCTGTGGCGTCGACCGCTGGATGTAATGGACTTGAGTCGAGGACGGGTTGAAATAATCGCCAACAGAACCTAAACACCTAACCTAACCTATACCTAACTATACATAATAATAACAATAATAAAAATAGTAATAATAATAATAATAATAATAATAATAATAATAATAATAATAATAATAATAATTTATTTAGGAACAGTACATACATAGTTGCAGAGTTACAGTACAAACATTGTTAGATATAAAGATAGAGGCAGTACATACAATACCTAAAGCCACTAGTACGCATAGCGTTTCGTGCAAGGAGAGGCGGGGAAAAAACACTTAGACAAAAACTTAATAATTCTAAAATAATTTTTAGACTTAATTTTTAATAACTTAATAATTACTAAAAACTTAGTAATTCTATCTATCATACATACCATCTTGAGGTTATCTTGAGATGATTTCGGGGCTTTAGTGTCCCCGCGGCCCGGTCCTCGACCAGGCCTCCACCCCCAGGAAGCAGCCCGTGACAGCTGACTAACACCCAGGTACCTATTTACTGCTAGGTAACAGGGGCATTCAGGGTGAAAGAAACTTTGCCCATTTGTTTCTGCCTCGTGCGGGAATCGAACCCACGCCACAGAATTACGAGTCCTGCGCGCTATCCACCAGACTACGAGGCCCCCTCGTAGGCCCCCTACGAGGCCCCCTCGAAATACATAGAATTTTAATATATAATAATACCTCATGAACTTTAAACACCGTATTTGTGAACATATGAGTGTCACTTACCGTACTGAGGGGCCAGATTCACGAAGCAGTTACGCAAGCACTTACGAACCTGTACATCTTTTTTTCAAATTTTGGCGGCTTTGTTTACAATTGATAAACCGTTAATGAGCTCCGAAACACCAGGGGGCTTTTTATAACAATAGCAACAGTTGATTGAAAAGTGTTCATGCTTGTAATCTGTTTAATAAATGTAACCAAAGCCGTCAACTATTGATTAAATATGTACACGTTCGTAAGTACTTGCGTAACTGCTTCATGAATCTGGCCTCTGTGGGTCTGCCTCTTAGGCACTGTGCTTCCTCTGTTAGTAGAGACCACAGCGAGGATGAAGGCCACACTATCACCTCTCGCTGTTGTCTCTCTTAGTTGGTCTCGCCTTCAACTCAATATTTTAGATTGATTGATTGATGAAGATTAAGCCACCCAAGAGGTGGCACGGGCATGAATAGCCCGTAAGTGGTGACCCTTTTGAGCCATTACCAGTATCAAAAGATGATACTGGAGATCTGTGGAGGTGCAACTGCACCCAGCGTGACGGGAGATGTCTCCCGGACCAAATGGTGACCAAATGGTGAATATTATAGAGAGTATCTCCATCATTATTATGAGACCTGAGGTGAAGAGTTCAGGGTCGGCGACTCAGTTGTTTGTACATTAATTGTCGTCTTCTTGAAGTAAGTGCTGAGTTCTTTATTGTTCTTGTGTACATATCTTTGTCTTTTATTTTGTATAAATAAATGTCAACCCATGTCTTGCTATTTTTAATCGATACTGCTTGTTGACCAACTTGTATAATTGCTGATTTCTGCAATATTTCCCCCCCCCCCCACACACCTATTTTTTATTCCTTTTTCAACACAATTTATACTTTAATCTCAGTTACTATTAAGTTTAAGTCTGTTGTTTTTCCCCCACATCTTGCCCAAAACGCTGTGCGTATTAGTGGCTTTAGGTATTGTATGTACTACCTCTATCTATACATCCAACATTATGTTTGTAACACATCTTCTAAGTATATACTTTTACCTGAATAAACATTTGAATTTGAATAAAGTTTAGCTTTATTTTTGTGATTTGTAGTCATATTGATTAAGTATATAATGATATATTGTTTTTAGCTAATTTGCTAAATAAATACTCTTGTTAGCCCTAATGAAGGAGTTTAAGACTCTGAAACGTCTGACATTGTATATAATGTGAAAAGGATGTATATTGCTGCACGCGTCCTACAGATATTGATAACATTAGTAAGACGCCTAATAATATTAACATATATGCAGGAACAAACTTATTTTTATTGCACAATATGTAAAAATTAATGACTATGACTTGGGGGTTGGCCGCTGCTTTAACGAGCCTGGCCTGAGTACGGGTTGCCAGGTGAGTACTCTGGTCAGCTTGGTGGTGTTAAATAATCTGTCTTGATCTACTTTATCATTTCCCTTGAGAAATTATGCATGTGGTAATCATGTCTCCACAGACTGTTCTGTCTTCAAGTAACGTGATGTTTAATTCACGCAGCCTTTCCTCATAACTCATGCCTAGCAGTTCTAGACCTAATTTGGTGGCATACCTTAGAATTCGTCTTGTGCCTAACTGGTTAAGGACGCCAGGCCGCGCCGCAAGCCGGAGAGAACAACAAGTTGTTCTTGTTCTCAAGAGAGAACAAAAAGATGTTGTTCTCGCGGAGAACAACATCTCTCAGAACCAACTGCAGGTACAGACGAGGAGTCACAATACCGTGGCTGAAGATATAATACCCAAGCCACACACCACAAGATGAAGACACCACCACGTCTTGGTCCGTCCTGGATCATTATCAAGTCCATTGTGGTGCCGACCGCAATCGACTTGATAATGGTCGATAATGATAATATGAGCAGCCTCCTCACTGTTGTGTGTGGCAGTGAACATGAGAAACAGTGTCTCAGCGTCTCTCTGCAATAAGGCATAATCGAGTTACTACTATTAGGCAAAATTGTAAGTTAATTTTGTCAATAAAGTTGCTAATAGTTGAAGAGGGACGAAGTACTCTTCCTGCTGCTCGTAGGTGTCTGGGGACTGTTCTTGTCTACACTCTCCTCTCACTCTCCTCTCACTCTCCTCTCACCATCCCTCTCATCTCTCCTTTGTCCCTCTCCTTCGCCTCACACTTCTCTCCGTTTCCTCCATCCCCATACTGTGATTATCGCCTCTTGTGTCCCTCCACTGTGTGATCTACGACCTCTCCCTCCTTCCCTAAGTCCTCCTCACCTTCACTACCTACTGTTGGAGTGTTGGTAAACTCTCCAGTGTGCCAAGAGGCAAATTAATAAAAAAAATTATTTTATGAGAACTATAATGAATTGATTGACACGGTGTGAGAGAGAGAGAGAGAGAGAGAGAGAGAGAGAGAGAGAGAGAGAGAGAGAGAGAGAGAGAGAGAGAGAGAGAGAGAGAGAGAGAGAGAGAGAGAGAGGGAGGGAGGGAGGGAGAGGGAGAGGGAGAGAGAGGGAGGGAGGGAGGGAGGGAGGGAGGGAGGGAGGGAGGGAGGGAGGGAGAGAGAGAGAGTCAGAGAGAGAGAGACAGACAGACAGACAGAGCTGGAGCTGAAGGTAAGTGTTTATAAAGAAGGATAAGAGATAAGAGTGGGCAGGGGGGAAGATGAGAGTGATAATGAGATACAATACTTATTTTCCCAGTAAAAATATATGAAGAAGGTCGGGAAGGTCCCGGGGAGGAGCGGACCCGGACGCTCTGCAGGTGATGTTACCAATTACGGTGAACTGTGCGCCCTCGCTCACTATACACACACAAACACGGTGCTGGGCACACACCTGGGCCACCACACCCGCCACACACCGCACCACACACAGGCTCTATACAGAACAGTGTAATATTTGTGTCCAAGTACACGTATGTGCAAGGCTTGAGCTCTGATCAGAGGATATATGCGCCCACTGGTCCGTCTCACTCACCACCATCACTTCTCCAACACCAGACCA